CTTTTTTAAATTGGAAACTAGCCTGAAGAAAAGGCAGACAAACGCATCATTTGAAGTCAGGATCTCTGGAAGCATTCCCAAGGGGGACCTGGCTGAGTACTTGCCCACTTCCTTTCTTTGGTTCCCGGGTCCAGAGCTCTCGCTAACTGAGTGTTCTCGTGCATGTGTCCAGATTTAAAAGCTTTAATTCGTAGCTGAACCGAGGGGAAAACGCAAGAGAGAGCCCTTTGCTTGTTCATCATTTTTGAGGCAGAAGCCAAACTGACCCAGTGCGCTGATTTCAAGAAGATGAAAAATGTGTCTGTTTCATTCCCAAGACAAGTCCTCAGGAATATTTGCCTTGGCACCTGTTGTCCAGAGACTTCAGGGGCTATTTCTTCAGGGCTTACAGCCTGGCTTTCCAGTATCTGGAGCTAATACTTTTTCCTAGAACAGCCTGCACTCAGGGCTGCTCCTTCCCTGGGCCTTGGGAAGGTTCGGAGCATCCCCGAGGCGCCTTCCTCCTTAGCTGGGCGTCTAATGGGGCCTGTCAGGCGCCACAGCCCCTCCGACTCTCAGAGTGGCAGGGACGGTGGAAAACTTAATAAACCCCAGACATTTTTGTTCACACCTCTTCAAAACAAAACCCCGCTTTTTCTAACAAACTGTTTCCCTAATCGTGAGCAATTTCTTTTCCCACTCTGATGTGAATGTACAGTATTTGGAAATCCTCTGTACTTCACTCCTTTCCTTCCAGTGCTCTTATAATTATGCAGAGTAGTCATGTTCTCAAATTGATGGCTTCCTCTAAGCTTATGAGAAGCTAATACAAGAATTTTAAATTTTAACAAAAAATGATTGATAGATAGATGATAGATGATGATAGATGATAGATGATTAGATAGATAGATGATAGATAGATAGATAAATGATAGATAGATAGATAGATAGATAGATAGATAGATAGATAGATAGATAGATAGATAGATAGATATCTGTGGTACATGTGCCCAGAAATAGTTACCCATGCTGACTTGGATGCAGTCTTTTCTATTTCTAAGTGCTCTCTTCACTCCCCCCCAGGCTTGAATGAAGAGCTGGTCCAGCTGCTGCTTATCCGAGATGAGCTGCACACAGAACAAGATGCCATGCTGGTGGACATCGAAGACTTGACCAGGTTGGTGATGTTTCACCCTTTCCAAAGAACCCTAGAAACCCGGGGTGGTCTGAAGTTTAATAATTAGGGCAAGCGCGAACTCTAGAGAACTCCCTCCTTTCCTTCCATGAGTTGTTCACCTAAACCCTGCCGTTTAAATGGAGGGGAAGTGGCCAAAACTCCTTTCCAAACGCATTGCTTCTTACAACCACCCTCTCGTAATGGGTCGTCAGGGCATTCAAACATCTTACAGGGCACCCAACTCAGGTCAGCCATTCTGGCCCAGGAAGACCTTATCCTGAGGGACTGGCCCCAGGGGGTTGGCTCAAAGCCATTCCATGCTGGCGGGTTTCCAGCTGATGAGCCACCACGTGGTGGGTGCCACAGAATGGCACTCGCTGTTACGTGACGCGACTTTTGATCACATCTGCTATGCCCAGAAGGCAGGAACACTGGCATCTTTCCACAGTACCAGTGCCACCAGATTGCTCTCACCAGAGGGAAACGCTACCAGGACTTGAATATCCAGCCAGGCCTGGCTCCAAGTGCCTCTCTGTGAAGAGGTAAAGAGTTCTTCCCTAGGGAACAAGGAAACTAGGCTAATGCTGGTCAAGATCTTGCATTTGTTAGTTTTCCTTGTAGAAAAGCCTCTCACCATAAGGATAGAAAGTACATGAAATACTACAAGCATTCCTAGTATCTCGCATTTACTTTGGCACCTTTTCAGAGACAGTTTATTTGAAGTCTTTAAACCAGGAGACAACAATTACTATTAATCCCAGAAATGGTATTCAGAGAGCAGGAGGTTCCCCGAGGAAGGAAAGAACACTATTTGTCACAATAACATAAGGCATTAAACATGTGATCCACAACCATCCTAAAGAAGCTAGAAAACGTATGTGGTGAAAATGCTCTCAGGACCCCTTCTCATTGTGGAATGCTGGGAAAAATACTTTTCTAAATGCAAATGTTATAAAATAGTTTTGATAACTAAATAAATGTCACAGAACTACGTTTAGGCTTTTTTTTAAAGACCTACCTATGGGCAGCGCTCTGTTTTGTATGCTTTGAATATTACACTGCCTCACCCCTAACAGAAAGACAAAACAGAAAACCAGGAGGCCTTCTCACACCTTCTTAGCGTATTTGCCTACATCTGAAATAACACTCAGATCTCAATAACACTCAAATCTCAATAACACTCAAATATTATTATTGCCATCTACAGATGTATTTAGGCACTACACCAAGTATAAGATACATCGCTTTTTGTTAGTCTAAGATATTTGCATACAGGTATTAAGATTACGGGAAATGAGTAGTGAAATATACAGCCAGGACCTGCATCCTTGAAAAAGATGTGAACTTTCTGATGAATTCTATGATCTGCTCTGCCCCTCAAAGCAGCAATGGCTTTACTCGCAAGGAGGATATTGCGAGGCTCCTCCCTTCTCTCAAAGGATTAAGTTATTACTTAGGATAGTAGTGTATTTTTTGTCTATACCTTTCTGATGGTAATCATGGGAAACAGGGCAGATGGAACCATGGGGTTAAAAGGAGAGGAGTCACTAATTTAAAGGTGTTGGAGGCACCCTATAAATTGGAGTAGGTAGGGAGAAGTTTCTATGTCCATTCCTGGCTGCAGAATTTTAATTTTGCTCATGGGGGAAAGGGAGGATGCTTAAGCGTCCCTAAAGGTAGCAGTCCCAGAGCTTTGCAGCCAGATCCGAGTGGGCTGAGAGTGTGGCTGAAGGGCTGCTGAAGTCTTGTCACCTCTTCCCCTCACCTGTCCAACTCCTCCCATCCAGAGGGCAGTGCAGATCAGCGGTTCTCAGATTTGGCTGCACCCCGGAACCCCCGGGGACCTTTATAAAGCATTGATGCCTGGGTCTCACCCCCCGAGATTCTAATTTAATTATTCCATGGAGTGGCCTGGGCATTAGGAGTTTTTAAAGCTCCCAGATGATTTCAGTGTGCAGCCAAATGAGGACCACTGGTTTGTATGATGCCTCTTTGGGGAGGGGCGCCCTGACTCCCCAGCGATGAGGCAGGACGCTTTTCCCCGTGTTCCTGGCAGTATGGCACCCCTCGCGCGTGGAGCCTCATCACGTGCTGCGTCCTGTGCTGTCTGTCCCGACCTGACTGTAAAGCCCCTGAAAGCAGAGACGGCGCCATGCTCATTCATTGCCGTATCCCCATAGCTNTCCCGACCTGACTGTAAAGCCCCTGAAAGCAGAGACGGCGCCATGCTCATTCATTGCTGTACCCCATAGCTCAAGACAGGGACTGCCAGGTACATAGTAGGTCCTCAATAATGATTGTTAGTAAAAAGAAATCTTTGTGAGGCTTTCATATAAATAGTTGATGAGGATCTTTTAGTCGTATGGACAGAAACCCTTTTCCCTCCTTCATTTAAAATTGTAATGAAATTCACCCTTTTTAAAATTGATTATTATGTAGGTAGAGTTGATATACAATCTTATATTGGTTATATTAGTTTCACGTGTACAATGTAGTGATTTGACATTTTTATACCTTACAATGTGATAACCCCACTAATTCTAGTAATCGTCTGTCGCCGTGTAAACTTATCAAAATATCGTTAACTACATTCCCCTTCCTCTTTTCTCCATCCACCCAACCCCATCCCTTCTGGTAACCATCCCTTTGGTCTCTGTTTCTATTCGTCTATTTTTGTTTTATTTGTTTCGTTTCGTTTTTAGATTCCACATGTAAGTGAAACCATATGGTATTTGTCTTTCTCTGTCTGGCTTATTTCACTTAGCATATTAGCCTCTAGATTCATCCATGTTGTCACATATGGCAAGATTTTATTCTTTTTTATTGCTGCATAATATTCCTCTGTGTATGTGTGTGTGTGCGCGTGCACTTTCGTGTNTGTTGTCACATATGGCAAGATTTTATTCTTTTTTATTGCTGCATAATATTACTCTGTGTATGTGTGTGTGTGCGTGCACTTTCGTGCGCACATGCATATACCACATCTTTATCCATTCATCTATTGATGGACACCTAGGTTGCTTCCAGATCTTGGCTATTGTAAGTAATGCCGCAGTGAACATAGGGGTGCATATATCTTTTTGAATTAATGTTCTCATTTTCTTCAGATAAATACTCAGAAGTGGGATTGCTGGGTTGTATAGTATATTTTCACCCTTGTATGTATGTCTCAAAATAATACCCAGTTTTCAATATTTCCCAAAACAATATCCTGTCTGTTCTTGCTTTCTCTCTCAGAAAAAAACCCTTGCTCTGTGTGTGCAGACACATGCGTGTTCACACGCATGCACACACACATACATATTTTAAAACTGCTATAAGAACTAGAATTTAATTAGCTGTAGTGGAATCTTAGCTCACTAGGCATCAAAATATTTCTTGAACTGAACTTGTTTAAGAGAGGCTGAGGAGCTACTTTATGAATATGATCAAGATTCTTTTCTACACATGAATAGGCCATGAGATGGTCTGCTAAATAGCATTAATTTTTATTTTTTATTTTTTTTAAGGAAAAGAGGATATCTTTTTCTTGAGTTCCTTTAGTGTTAAATGAATATCACCAATTATTTGTGGGCTGTTGAATGTGGCAAGGACACTATTGTCACTTCCCTATTTTTGAAAGTATTTGTGGTTTGTCTTCTGTACCATAGATATGAGACATTCTGCACAAAACCAGTGAGTTCAGCTTGACGTCACTGAGCACCCAAATGAGGGCAGCACACCAAACTGCCCCATACTGTGACTACAGCTGGAAGTCACACCCTTAGATGCTTTTCTCTTGCCAAATCCATAATTTCCTAGTGTCTTTCTTCAAAGCAGTTGTCTCTTGCAGCCTTCAGACCCTACCATCTTCTGAGAGGATATTTAATTAGTGCCCGTTCAAGTGATAGAAGCAGCTTGGCCATTCCTCCCCCCTTCCACCGGCCCTGCGCTGGGATGGCCAGACTTCGGGCTCACAGGCTGTAATAGGGCTGGATGAATATGAAGGGCCACTGCACCCTACCCCACCCTCCTGCCATGACCATGCCCTTAGGACTGTTGGAAGGGGGGAAGTATGTACATGTGGAAGTTGTTTACATCCACAAAAGCCTGCCATTTGCTAGGAAGACATTAACTTTTGTAAGAATGGCGGTAGATTACTGGCTTCCGATTTCTGTTGGGAGCCTTGCTAATATGTGTGTCTGTGTGTGCGCCTGTGTGTTTAGATAAAGTCATGAAGTTACTTTCTGTCACACCCCCCTTGTTTTGACTCTTTGCTTAGCACTTATTTTCTGTCTANGTTTAGATAAAGTCATGAAGTTACTTTCTGTCACACACACCCCCCCTGTTTTGACTCTTTGCTTAGCACTTATTTTCTATCTGCTCACTCTTTGTCAGCTATTTGTTCCTTTCCTGCCTCTCTCCTTTGGAATGTATGCTCCATGAGAACAAAGACCTCACTGTCTACTCACCACCACACCCCTCGGGTGAGGAGCAGTGCCTGGGACATAGTGAATATTTGTTGAATAAATGATCTCAGAGACTTATCTCTCCTCATTTTTAAACACAGCACTGTAACCAGTCTCAAGTTAATCTAGTGACTCATTAAATAAAAGGAATCATGCATAGAATATAAAAATTGAAGAGGGCAAATCCATTTGAATTAAGAACTGTTTCTTGGTTCTCTTGATTTTACTGTGAGTAACTGGACCTCAGTTTGGAGGATGTTTTAGCTGTTGATTGGAACAGCTTGGATCTTTCTTCTTAGCACTANTGGACCTCAGTTTGGAGGATGTTTTAGCTGTTGATTGGAACAGCTTGGATATTCTTAGCACTGAACAGTTGTATTGTTAATTTTGCAGACATGCCGAAAGTCAGCAGAAGCACATGGCAGAGAAAATGCCTGCGAAGTAAACAGAAGCCATCCAGCCAGAGGACAAGCTAGACTTCGTTTTGCTTCTGTGGTTGTAAAAATGCTGTTGCTCAAGGTGGCGCAGAAACAAACAAATGTCAGTGTTAGTCATTGATAATGTCTGAAGCTTAATGTCCAGTGATTAGCCTTTGCTTCTTTTTTTTTTTCATATTTTACCAGATGAATTTAATTGACATTTTCAGAGCATCACCCCAAAATTGCAGGGCACATATTCCCCTCAAGTTCACAGGGAAGGCCCCTCAGGACAGAACACATGTTAGGCCACAAAACAAGCTTCAGTAAATTTAAAAAGATTGAAATCATTCCACACCCCGTGCTCCCCCCCAACACAATGGCATGAAACTAGAAATCAATTTAAAAAAAAACCAAAACTGAAAAACACACAAACACGTGGAGGCTAAATAACACGCTTCCAAACAGTGAATGGGCTAACAGTGAGACCAAGGAAGAAATCAAACGGTGCCTTGAGCCCTGGCTGGTGTGGCTCAGTTGGTTGAGTGTCATCCCATCAATCAAGAGGTTGCAGAGTTCAATTCCTGGTCAGGACACATGCCCGGGTTGCGGGCTTAATCCCAAGGGTGTGCAGTGCAGGAGGTGGCCAATTGATGTCTCTCTCTCCCTCTCTCTCCCCCTCTCTCTAAAATCAATAAAAACATTTTTTTTTTAAAAAAAGATACCTCAAGACAAATGAAAATAAGAACACGACAACCCAAAATCCATGAGACACAGTGAAAACAGTCCCAAGAGGGAAACCCACAGCAGCACAGGCCCATCTCAAGAAACAAGAAAAATCCCAAGCCAACAATGTAACCTTTACTAGGAGACATGTTTTAAATGAGCCCATTGGATTGTTTTAAAACATGATCTTAATTCGATTGATTGGTTGATTGATTGTTTTGACAGTATNCCAAGCCAACAATGTAACCTTTACCAGGAGACATGTTTTAAATGAACCCATTGGATTGTTTTAAAACATGATCTTAATTCGATTGATTGATTGATTGATTGTTTTGACAGTACTCTTTTTTTAGTGAGTAAAGCTCACCAAACATAAAATTAACCATTTTAAAGTGAAAAATTCAGTAGCATTTGGTACATTTACAAGGTTGTGCAGTGATCACCTCTATCTAGTTCCAAAACATTGCATCACCCCAAAAGGCAACCCCATTCCCCCTGCCGCAGTCCCTGGCAACCAACTGTCTGATTTCTGTCTCTACGGATTCACTTATTCTGGAAATTTCATGTAAAAGGAGTCATACAATAAAAGAGACAAATTTTCCGTTACAAACATAACACGATAGGTAGATCACTACTAAATTTTAAGAGTAAGTGCTACACAAAGTTAAACTCCGAGCAGGAGAATTAATTTCATAAGAGAGCCCTTCATCTTGGAGCCCTCCTTGCCTGATATAGGCCATGAATCATTTCCAGGGTTGCTGGAAATCCCAGAAACGGCAGCATGTTCTTAGAGTCTTCAGCATCCTGCTGTTCAAATTCACTGTCCTTGACTTTGTTTTTCTTGATACTCGCGTTAGATAGGTACCTATAGATCAAGACTGCTACTTTCTGGACACTTTTTAAGCCTTCATTATAAGTTAGTTGGTCGCTGCTTTCCATCTGATCGACTTTTGCACCTCTAGTTAATAAAAACTCCACCGCTTGCTCTCTGTTCCTCTACAGCAAGTGAAAGCGGTGTGAGGTCATCCTTGTTTCTCGCTTCAATATTTGCCTCGTGTGAAAGCAGCTTTGCCACCAGAGCTGTATTTTGACCAGTGGCAGCCTCGTGGAGGGCAGTGCCGCCGTCGATGCCCGTTACTCTTGGACCAGCCCGTGGTCTAGCAGGGCAGCTGCCCATTCCTCTTCCTGCCGTTGCGGCCTTAACCAGAGCTGCCGTTTCCCTGGCCACGGGTTCAACAGGCATTTTCTGTCAGCTAGGAGGGAGAGTGACCGCCCCTGGACAGCCATTGGCACAGGCCACATGTAGAGCAGTCCTGTTCATCGTGTCTCTGTCCAAGCCATTTAACCTGAAAAATAGAAATTTTCACTCCCCCTACATTGCTCAGACTGACAGCTTTGTTGATCTTTCCTGTGGTTTTGTCTGGAATGTGGTACCGTGGCCCTCGGTGTCCCACGCCACTCGTCCCTGGGCTGGTGGAGGAGCCCAAGGGCAACACGTCCAGCCTCCTCGGAAAGGGAAACATCTTCATAGAGAGCCCACGAGCTTCAGAGAAGCCTCACCCCCCACCCCCGCTTTTCGTGACTCCTGAGCCCAGTACTCTAGATAAGCCGGCCACCTCACGCCACAGCATTCAAGCAGGGCAGTTTTCTGGCCTTAGCTTCTTAATTTATTTTAATTTTTTTACTGTGCCACTAAATATCAGGCATTTTAATAAAATATTGTTACAAAAATGTACAGTGCTGTACTTAACACCATCACAACTCGTGGTTATTCAAAGAGGGTTTTTGGTTTTTTGTTTAGAGGTTTTTAAGTTGGAGCAGTATTTACCATCAACTACTTTCATTCTTCACTGTAGTTTTAAAGAACTGTGACGGTGCTATAAAGTCAGAAATACATGCCTGCCTCGTAGTGAAGTAGCTCTCCGTAATAATGTATATTTTAATCAGTTTTCAACATTTTGTGAATGTTGACTACCTGAAGTTCATTTTTAGATGTGTTATTAACATTCTGTTGGATTCAGAGGGTTCTTTGAAAGTTTTATGTATAAATATGTAAAATAAAAATTAAAACTTTGTTTCATATGATACGTCTTTTTTCTCACTAGCAAGCCTCACACGGGCTGTATTTCTTCCCTTGTCACGCTTCCTCAACTCAATTCCCCACCGGGAATTTTGTGCAAATTTTAACCACTTCTATTGGTCTCAGGAAAAATGCCAGGTCTAAGGAAGTAGATTACAGATGATTCCCCAATAAATAGAGCTTCAGAAAATCAATTTAATGCGACAGCATCCATGCAGGTGTTAAGGAACGTAAACTAAAGCTGAGATGAGTGATCAACATTGAGAACCACCCACAGACCACCTGGTGTAGCCTGAAAATAGAAGCTGAGACAACTGTCTACACTTCCCTTTCTTAAAAACACCCGGCTAGATATTTTAAGTAATAGTAATAAAGAGTTGCCAATTTTCATAGTCTTCTACAATCTTAATTGTAACACTAATATTTTTATGGGCCTCAATCAAGTTATCTTCATATGGAAAAAAATAAAGCAGCTCATAAATACATTTTCGATTTTGTGAGTTGGCTATTGTGCGGGAGCTAAAGGGTGGGGCCCACAGTCCTCTCCACGCAGAGATCTCTAACTGAGCCCTAAGTCCTACACCAGCTGTGAGTCATCTGGATGGATCCCAGCCGAGAATCCAGACCCCGCTCCTGGAGCTGTGCTGCTTCAGCTCGGTGAGAACGTTGGTTGGTGATTTTCATCGTTAGCTGCGCAGTGGAATCACCTGAGCAACTTAGTAACCCCTGGGGGCCTGGGGCCCACCCCCACAGATACTGATTTAATTGGTCCAGGATATGGCCTGGGCATCGGGATTTTTTTTAAGGTCCTTAGGTAATACTAATGCTGAGAACGACCTTAGACTTTCTTCCTTTTTAGCTATTCTTTAACCATTTTTTCAGTATCTAGTTTTTTTCTAATTAAGATGTATCTAGTTTTTTTCTAATTAATTTGGACTTCTGGGGAGAGTGCTATGAAAAATGCTTGTGCCCAACTATGAGTAGTGGTGTAACCTGAAAACCTCCTCCAGTGACATCCACAACCTGGAGTCCTGACGCTAAATCTCAGCTCAATAAGACTTAATTGTATAAATCCTTGTTAGAATTGCGAATTTTGACAAAAATTTAGAAATGAGTTTTCTCTTTGTCTTCAGTAATGCAATCTCTCTGGCTAGAAATGTGGGAAATGTGTTCTGAAGAAATCCATGGCCTCTAAACTCTTCAGTTGTTTGAAGCCCAAAATCATAACTAGAGCCACAAGGGCGCCTGGAAACATCTCCGGGTCAGAGCCAGCTGAAAGTAGAGCAGTTCTCCCACACCCCGAGACCCTCAAAGGAGATTATTCGGTGTCCGATGTCCCTTTCATAGTCCTCTGCCCCAGCAGAGATGTGACTCACCTCCAAGGGAATTCTTTCAAAATTGGGTCTTTCTGGTCCTATTGCTTAGGTTCTTTGGCGAGGACTGGGATTATTCACAGCAGGATTCCCATCTGCACTAGACCACCCTTCCACACAAACTAAGACCCTTAACCAGGCTTAGTTAGAATGCTAGACTGCCTGGCCTAAAAAACAGGGCCTCCTCGATTCCAGGTTTGAAGAGAATGAGGTGAGAGAGTAACAGGCTCTGGGCAGAAGGGATGGGCACAAAAGCTAACTCCACAATCTTCCTAGTGAAATGACTTTGAGCAAGTTACTACAGCTGTATTTTACCACCTGAAAACAAGCTGTTCAGAAATTATTCTAAAGATTGAATAAAATAGTGCCCATGAAAGCAGCTGGCACCCAGCAGATCCTCACTAAATAATTGTTGAAATAAATAAATGATCAGGATTTGGGTGAAGGAAGGATTCTGTATTTTAACAGTTTCTGAGATTTAACTCATAGGGTTTTTTCTTGTTTATTAATCATTAATTTACAAAACAGATGCTTAAGGAAAAAATAACATCAATCTTCAAGTCCTATCACTCTTCCAAATATCAACATTAAAACTCAGAATGTATTCTCACACACCTTTCTTCATGCTTTTACAAACAGATGCAGCCAATACGGTTTTGTGTTTCAATTTGTTTATACAAAGACAGGATCACATAAAACACAGTGCTTTGCAACCTGCTCTGTCCATGGACACCCTTCCAGGGGAGTCCATACTGATCTGAGTCATTTTTTAACAGCTGTAAAATCATCCCCAGTATGATGGAACATACTTTATTCAGCTGTTTCCTTTAATGATGGGCATTAAAGGTCTTTCCAGATTTCTGCCATGAAACAGTGATGCAATAAATATGCTTGTACTTACATCTACTTGGGATTTTATTCTATGATAACCTCATTTCTTCTTTAATCCTCACTTGGAATTATATTTAGATACTTCAGAGTACAGAGAGCTAGTTAAGGTAGGGAAGACCAGGTGAAGGCATTGCCAGGAAGTTCTATTTCTTTGCAAAAATATTGGACCCAACCCCCTCCCCCCATCTGACACACAAACTCATTTTCATCTTTAAAGAGTATGATGTCACTTCCTTGATGCAACTGTCTGTTGAATACAGATTTTTCTCTGTTTCCTGTTTGAGGGGAGAGGCAAACC